CCCGTGCCCGTCCTCCAGCCTGGCACAACGGGAGGAGGTTAAAAAAAACAAACAAACAAAGCTGACAGGAGCCACACTGGTATCGGCGAGAATCGGGGCCGAGGGGCATGAAAAGGGCTTTTTACCACTTTAGCATCCTTTGAGGGAGAAATGTGCTGTTTGTGTAACTAACTCTTGTTAAAACAGCCTCTCTAATCGCGTTGACTAGCTCATCTTACAGCGTTGGCATGACCGGCTTATTTCTTGGTAACGCTTTGCTGAAAGGACGGAGGGTTGCTTATTCTTTAAAAGTCTGACTTTCAGTTTGAGCAAATTTGTCAATAACATGTCTACAAAGTCCTCTTCTGAGAAGTTATTTTGTAGAAGTTATTTCAGGAATTAAAAACCTGATGATTCGTGTAGCCGCCTTAATAGTCTATGTATGATGTTTAAAGCTTTTACGTGTAGTTACTAACTTGCTGTATGAAATGTCTTTCAGCATTTTTGAAGTCAAGATTTTTACAGAAAACTAATGCTGCAGAGTTCGAATGGATTTCCTTTTACAGAGGCTGTTCTTAATTGATGCTTAAGATACTTGTTTTCTTTTGACAGTGTTTGTTGATGACAGAAAGGCCTTCATTGTAAAAGCTGATAGCAAGATATGGCTCACTTTCCTTCTGGGTAAGTAGAAGGAATATGTCAGGGGAAAACACTGTTCTTCTTACCTGTCTTTCTCGGGAACTGTAAACTGTATCAAAATCTATTTGGAAATATAGCTTGGAAAAACAAATAAGCATAGCTTATGTTGTAAAGGGAGAGGAAATAACTTCCTACCTTGTAACTTTTGTAAAGCTGTTATTGTAGCAGTTGATGTGGTATCAGAAAATCTGTAGGAAAATAATTGTCTAGATATTTATGTATCTCTTTTATCGAGTCATTAATTTCTAGGGGGGGGAAAAGCAACTCTTAGTAAGTTATGTAATCAAAACAGCTTGTTTTGGAAGGATTGCGGGTAAGAGAACAACTGTAGGGGGATGTAAATTCAGACGTTGTTATCTTTGGGAATATTTTTGAGTAAATAATAAAATGATTAATGGCCAAAGTCTTGGAAAAAGCACCTAAAGTATTTTCAAAATTAAATAAATAAATTCCTAAAGTTAACAAATATTAAATAATAGCATATTTGTCAGATGTGCAGTTAGATATATTCTTAAAGGTATTATATTAAAAGACTGTCAGAGTATTCCAAAGATGCTGGTACTATTAATCATGCTACCAGTAGTCCTTGTTGCCAAAGGGAGTTTCTTCAATTTGATGAATTACATTGCAAAGTAGTAGCAGGGAAACAACCCTTAGTTTACAAACTAATTGATGAATAAACTGTTCTTGAATTGTTTTGCTTACCTCTGTTTATTCAGCATTTCCTAGACTAGTAGTTACTTAAATGAAACAGAAATGTTAAACTGATGGTCAAAATTGAAAAATGCCTGCCTTTGAAATTGGAGAGCAGATTAGATAGAGAGCTTTGTAATTTCTGGAGTTGGAATTTGGGTGTGAAACCCAGATAGCCAATTAAATACTTCAGGGAGATATTTATATTTTTAATAGGAGTAAACCCTTAATAGCATAATATTTTTGCTATTAATATTTGCAGTAGCAAAGCATGTATATATACTAAATATGACATAGTGTATTTTAGTTAGTTTTAGTGGTATTTGAATTTCTGTTGTTGTTTTGCTTGAGCTTTAAGGTCCGGATTTTAAAAACAGAAGCTCCCACAGTTGCAGCTAATTTTGTTATAGGGTGTGGATTTTTTTCTCTTGAGAATTATTTCCAATTTACATGCAACAATAAAGTTGTCAGATTTTCAAGGACATTCTTATACAACACTTTGCTCTATTATGTTGGGTTTTTTTTAAAATGACCATTGAATTGAGGCCTTATTCTTGAAGACATCCTTTCTACATTGCACAGACTCTCACAATGAAACATCTTGACTAAGCTGCAGAAGTTGTCAATGCTTGCACATTCCGTAGTGTTCCCAGTTCTGCTGTATTCCTACCTAGTCACTTGGGGGATACTTGCAAAGTATTAATCAGTTTCTAGTATGTTTTACATCCTGTTGCATTACATTATCTCAGCATTTGTTGTACTTTTGGTAAATAAGTTCTGTGTATTATGGCTTTATTCTTCAGTAGTTAATTTCCAGAATTAGAATGCTTTTTATATGCCATTCATGTTGCTTTTCTTAGAACAGAACACTGGCAAAACCAGGAAATCTGAAGAATAAACTATCAGATTTTACATAATAGCCCTAGTCTGCAAAAAATCTGATCATATGCTTTGCTTTTAGGGATTCTTAGATTGGGTGAGAAAATGGCATCTGCATGTTCAAGTACAGGGTAGCTGTTTAAGTCTTTGTAGCATGAGGACTCTAGTATTCCTCTCTTTAATTCCCTCCCCAGTAAGGACATTAATGGGATCAAAGGACGGTAATTTTAGGAGAGCTGATCTACATGGTTTCCATCAGAAACTAGCTTAATGTAAGTCTGGATGCAGTCTGTTGAAAAATGCTGATTTGGACTCATAGTGGAAGTCTATGAATTAAACACATTGTCTCTTGAACTATAAGTAATTACATGAATTGCTGTGCAATTATAAAAGGTCTTAGTCTTATACTTGTGATAGAGTGATAGTGAAGTTTTATAAAAATGTATATGAAATTCTCCAAAATAACTGAATGTATTTACACTTAATACATTTACTGAAGGGAAGAATCAGATTTAAATACATTGTCTTCTCTATGAAAAAAGTAGTATTTTGAATCTGAAATGTAATTTTGATATTAATAGATAATTTATTTGCAACAATAAAATACTGCATATTCAGCTTATTTGGAACCACATGAATTTGAGATCACGAACAGTACTGGTAGCTAATGTGCATTTATTTTGACTTTACTGTATATTCTTATCTAACAAATAATCTGTCTTAAAATTGGTATTTTTTATAATTGAGATGTGTATATGTAAATGCATTTCAGCATCTAATCTTTTTGGGAATCTTAGAAATGTTGCTGAGAAATGAAATAATGCCTTGTGCAAATGTGAGACTCAGTAAGTAATAACTAAGAAAGGTATGGACTGCTCTGTTTCTGTCCATATAATTACTGCAAAATGTGTGTTTTTTAATGGAATATGGTTTGCTGTGTTGCTGATACAGCTAATGTGCTTACCTGGAATTCCATATCATATCCATATCTGCTTTTCTGAAAAAGGAATTTTGCAGCTTTCCATGAGAACTAATGTAAATGTCCTTAGTACAAAAAAAACCCAAATCTGTAGCTCCTGAAACTTTCCTAAGACATTAAATTCCACTTAACGTGAACTATACTGAGCAATTCTTTGGTGAATTTTTCTTATAGAAAGTATGTGTAAAAATGTAAAGTTTTAAATGAAAGCTTGTGGTATTCATTTTCTAACTGAAATCCAGGCTTCTCTTCGAGAAAACTACTTCAGTGACTGAAGCGGAGCTGAAAAACTCTTAAGGAAGTTTCAGTGTGGTATTGTACAACCTCAACTACTATGTGAAGTATGTAACTTGACATAAATGTTAAATTGTACAGGCAGGAAACGTTTTTTCTCCCTTTGATAATGGGTTTTTTCTTTTCTGCCTTACCCAGTTTATCTCGCACATCTTTGTATACAAAACTTTACATTTATGAACCTCATTTTTAATATTAGTTTGTCGCATTATAACCTGCGGTGACAATGATAACAAGTATTGCCAGCAGCAGCATTGTGGTGACAACGATAACAAGTAATGCCAGCAGCAGCACTTCCAGGCTCTGTGTTGGAGGAACATGTGGTTTGGGAATATATACTAGGGCATGAAGTGTACATTCAGTTCACTCCCCTTCCACATAAATTCAGTGGTTTTGCAAAGGTGTTTCTCTTTCTTTTGTCCCTGCTGCTTTCCAGAAACACCACCATACACATGTAACATGCAGTCTGAACGCACGTGCGTTCGCTAACTCTCTGACTATATTCTGCATCAATGTGCAAGCATTTGATGTAAGTTTTACCTATGTGGTCAGAGAGGGCCATGCCCGAGTGCCTGTAAGCTGTAGGTGTGTGCACAGATCAGCACCCTGGAGAGGGACACGGTGCTCAGCACCTTTCCAGCTCCAGCTGGATGTAAGCAGGGAGGGTGGTTGCCCTTTCCACTTTCTCTCTGCTCTGTATAGCCTGTGTGAATAAGAGGGCTCTTCGTTAACCATAAAGATTTTCTTGGATTGAAGGCAACCAGCCTACTTGATCTTTCTATGTCAGAGAACCACTGTGTGCCTAGAGGGCAACCAAGACACCTTCAATCTAGAAGGAGCACTGTGGTCACTCTAAATGCCTACCCTTTATCCCTCACTCATGCTGGCTTTGCTTCCATGGTGAGCTCTGGGTGTGTTGTGAGTGCTGCCCAAGCAAAATGGAGCGGCATCTGCTCTCTGTGGATCTTGACGTGCTAAAGAAGTCAGAGACCTAGACTGTTTACCCACCACTTTATCATCATTTGTCTTTTCCCTTTGTCCCTCAAATTACCTCCCTTGTTCTGTACCTATGTGACAACAGTGCAGTCGTTGCAGTGCAACAGTGCAATAGTGTCCGAATGGACAAATGGAATGTTATTACATGGAGAGTCTACCTTTTTAGTAATTATAGTCTCGATTAGATTTATGTGGGCTGTCACGGTCCGTTTGGATTTCTCAAATTTACAGGACTATGTACTCTGTAAATTAAACTTTATTTTATGAGCTCGTTAGGAAAGAAAACAAACACAGTAAGCAAGGGCTCAGTTCACTTTGTACAGACTAGCCTAACATGGGAATTCACTAAATTCATCACTTAAGGCATGAGATTTCTAACTCACAAGTTCTCTAATTCACAACTCCTAATTTGTAACTCCTAACTTGTACATCTATGAGCAAACTAGTGAGGTAGCCAATGGTGGGAGTGTTCATGCTTCCACTTCCATCATGGTGCAGGTGTCCCCAGTATCACACTGGGAAGCTTGAAAGCCTCAGCAGTCTAGCTGCTGCTGAATCTGTTTTAAAAACTTTATGGATAAGCTGATGTATTTGTACCTTCCAGCTTGCAAGTTTGGTCTATACCATTTCCATGAGTTAGCAGATTCTGAAGACAATCAATATGCAAGGATTATGGCTGCAGAAGACAGCAAGCTGCAGGTGATAATAGCTGCATAATGACCTTTAGCCCTTTCTCGCCACCGGCTCCTGCCAATGTGTTGCCCTTGCTATGACCTAACAGCGCTGCTTCTAGCATACATCAGGCCCTAGTATGAGCTGTCTGTTAGCCAAAATCTGAGGAGGAGTTGAGTGAAAAGTCACAACAGGTATCTTAAAATGTTGAAAATATTTATGCTTATTTTTAAAAAATGGTTATAATTCAGTTTTGCTATTGATAGCTGAAATGGGTGCATTAGATTCTGATGGATCAACTTGAGTGATGCAGGATATAGGTGAGAACATTGCCTACTGCTGAATGCCATCAGCATAATTTCAGATTTTCAAAGAGCTGGCCATAAAAGTTAATTCAAATTTTCCTATTCGTCTGTTTCTCTGGAGGCTGAGTACCTTCTGTGCACCTCTAAAGTAGTACTGTAATTAAAGAACATGATTTCATGTTCAATGATTTAAATATTTCAGTAACTTGACACTTTTTGTTTCCTTTGCAGCTGTTTTTGCAGGAGTCCTACATTGGTAAGGTTAAATTTATTGCTTGAGAGTAATATGATATTTAAAAATAATAAAAATATCATTTTGACTTATATTTAGACAAGCTATTGGAATAATTTATATTTAGATTTTTCCTCTCAAAACCAAATTGTTGTCTCTAAGATGAATAATTCTGTTCTCATGAAGCTGATGTGAAAGGTTTCTTAAGCCTGTTCAGTGAAGAGTGAAGCTTGCTTTCCAGATGGAAAATTGTTGCTTAGCTATACAAATTCAGGTGCATTTCCACTAATAGACCTTTTTACCCTCAGTGGGTTTTAAAAGGATTTACCTGGACTTTTAACTTTCTCCTATGTTCTGCTTATTTGGATTCTGCTTTAATTTCTTAGATATTTTTGTCACCTTTTCTCTAACCTTTTCAGAAAAGTCTGACCAATGTTTTCTTTGTGTACAGAAGAACGGTCTTTCAACTACTCTTTGTCAATGTAATCCTTGTGTTTCAGGTTCCATCCTAATCCTCACCCTTTCTTTTTGTAGTATAGACTTGAAATAGAATGTCTTCTATAGTGATTTTCACCAGCTGCTTTTCCAGAGATAAAAAGTAACAGCTTCTGCCACTCTGTTTTTGTTTCCTGGCTGAAAAAGAACTATTGATTTTTTGGTAGTTTGTTTCTTGCAAATTCCTGTTCAAAAGCAGAATCACGTGCACTGCTCTGTTTCTTTTTCCATCCTTTCTGGAGAGGAAGCTCCTCTTGGAAACTGCAAGTTTTACCTCCAAAATTATTGGTGTTTTTCCTGGCTATTTTTTTTCCTATAGCTGCACCTTTATTTCAATATACTTTCGATAGTAAGCATGTCTATATATAATGGTAGATAACTGTGTTAAAATACAAGCCAGGGAAGATTTTTGTGGAAAAATCATACACTACTTGTACGTGCATCCTTATTTTCACCAGTTTTTAATCTGTGATTCTTTTAATTTGTCAGATATTTGAATTTTCTTTCCTAATATGTAGACTTGATAGCCTTAAAGTTTTGATCCTTACGTGTCTGCACTTAAGTTAAAATGCATTAAGGTATTACAGCGAATTATGTAATACAATTTACCAAATGCTCTATGGATTCATATTTTTTCCATTTAAAATAGTCTGAATAGAGGAAAATGTTGGTATACCATATGAGTAAAATAAAAGAGCAGTTTGTAAATAAACTTTGGGTCTTCATTGAATGTTTTGCCAGCTGTTCCTTGGTATGTATGACTTAGTACAGGTTCTAAAACTCTTTGTTCAGTTTTAATTATTATTATTTCTTAACAGGTGTCACATAACAACTCTTTTTGAAAATGACCGTCATTTTTCTCACCTGTCAACACTAGAAAGAGAAATGGCTTTTCGCACGGAAATGGTTAGATTATATTTCAATAAAAATTCAGTGATTGGAAAACTTCTGTAATCTTGTGATAGTGGGCTTTCCAAAATTTCTTAATACCTTCTGGATAAGTAAACATACTGATATCTTGCAACTAACATGCATTAGACTTTTACACGCAGACCATTTTTGTGTCTTGCAGCTGATCACTATCAATGTATCTCTTCACAGTTCACTTAAAATACAATTTAAAAATATGATTCTAGAGGACCTAAAATATAAAACTACAAGAACCTTTTAGCATACTTTCAATTACAGTCTCATTATGCATCTTTTTTTAAAAATATTTTTTAATTAATAAATGTTAATTAATAAATGTATACACCTTTTGGCTGCTTTAATTTTGAGAGTTGTGAAATACTATGCTAGTGCATAGTTACCAGGCCAAACAAGAGATTTCCAGATGTCCTATGGAACAAGGTTGAAGGAAACCCACGTTGTCTGTTTCAGTGGCACTAATAGAAGAAATTTGAAAAGCTGGATAGTCATCTTGAATAGTTTTGTCCTATTTGTTATATTAGAAAATTTGATTTAAAAATGAAGCTTGTATATGGCAGTTCATGAAGCAACAGTGACCTTTTTAATCATAAATAATGATTCTGTTCTCCTGTAGGGTCTTTATTATTCCTACTTCAAGATCATTATTGAGGCACCATCGTTTTGGAATGGAGTATGGGCAATTATGAATGACAAACTAACTGAATATCCTTTAGTGATTAACACCTTACAAAGGTTCAATCTTTACCCAGAGGTGAGCTATGTTTTAAAAATAATACCTTCTGATAAATCTTTGATTTCTTTAGATTTGACTATGAATGTGTAAGAAATGTTACTCTCGAAAATGTGGTTGTAAAGATATAGTGACTAATGAGTTGTTGCTTAAATACCTTATTTTAGTCCCAGATTTAAAATGGGAAAGTTATTTCATACATTGTGGTCAATTCTCAGACTTCCAGTACATCCAATCAAATGTGAATATTCTCTAGATCTTAGTATTTCTCGCTCTGAAGTTGCAATCTAATTCTATACTTCTTGTCATCTTTTATTCTTTTCACTGACAGCAAGTAAATTGCAGGCAGGTACTTCAGGAAATATGATATGGGAAGTAACAGTAGTATGTGACAATAATGTCTGCAGTGATACAGCTGCTGAAAGGTTATTTTTACTTGCGTTTTGTGTAGGACAATGTACTAACGAATCATGACAGTTCACTGTGGCCCTAAAATCCATGAATGGTAATAGCTTGCTTACACATTGCAGAAGAAATTCCTTTGTAGAATACTGACTGTGGTTGTCTTGTACGTACTTGATGTTAGACTTGTTACCTGATTAGATTATGCTCCTACTCTGCTTTTTTGTCACTAAAAAGAACACGTCTTTAAGTACAGAAATATTTAGTTTTCTCTGTCTCACGTTTTTGCCAGTGTCTCTCAAACGTTTTGCAAAGGGAAGACTCCTTTGGTTAATGTATGTTTCTGTAACTCCAAGTGTCAGCAACGGTTTATTTTTTGGAGAACCAAGGACTAATAATGACTGTAATTGTTGGATACTAGCATTTATACTCATTTACCTGCTCTGTTGTAGCAGAGCTGCTTTATGGAACTACATGTGTTAAGAGTTCTCGGCATGCATGCATCTATACAACTCTCATGTAGTGGTTTTGTTTCTTAATTTCTTGCTCTAAATGCTATAGATGACTGCTTTTTGTTACCCTCTTACTGATTTTGGGTTTCTGGGGGTTTTGGTGGCTTTGTTTTTTTAACTCCAAAGGGATTTCAGTTCAGTTCTAGAAATGCAACATTAGGAGCGTGTGCCTTATTTAAATACTATAAAGATATCTTCTTTAGCTAAGAGATTTATTGACTTCAGCTATAGTCTGACTTGGAAAAATCAAAGGTGACGGGTCAAGTGAATTTGCTCTTACAGAATCATCAGTATCATCATGAAAAATGACTTAAGTAAACTGCATGATGAAATCAAAACAAGAGTAATCATATAGTAGATGACTTCTGTAAGAACATTAGGTAGATTACTCTGCAAAATGTGTAGGCTTGTCTGTTCATTCACGGTTTTCTAGGATCTTACTGGCTTGTAGAACTTGGTGCTAAGGTATGAATTCATTCATCTTTTCTGTGCCTGTGTGGGCATGCAAAGCAGACAGATAGTCTCCTCTACTCCTTTCAGTTATTTACTGCTTGATGCTTAGCCTTCCTGTAAATAGTTGGGGTTTTTAAAGTGTATTTCTTGAATAATCTTGTTTTCACATAACTGCATCTATAAAACTGTCAATAGGTGCAACTTTACATTTGAAGTATGTTCTCCAAATTTATCTAATTTTACTTATGATTATACTGGGGCTGGGTGGTAGGAAGATGCTTGTGGATTTATTTGTTGGCAGTGAAATTTTTCCTTCTGATACTCAATATCCAGTTGTGTTTTCTGAAAGTGTTTCATTTCCTGTTTGGTATTTTAGATTTTTTCCACTCTTTCAGCCCAATAGTAATGTTAAGGCCGAATTTTAATAAAATTTTTGTTTGTTTAGTGGATTTAAAAATTAATTGCATCAAAAATAGCCTTGAAATCCAGTTACTAAACAGGATGTTAAACCCATTAAGTAGAACAGTTCACCTGCACGTGCAGCTGGTACTAGTCATGAAAACTTCAAAAGAAAGAAAAAAACCAGGTAAAGTGAGTCCGTAGCAATCATTACATCGTCTGTGTAAATTATAAATATAAGTAGAAAAAAAATCAAAAGCAACAAGTCAGCCTTTGTAGTTGTACAACATTATAGTCCCAATAAAGTCTTGATTTTCCAGGTATTTACTGCATAGTCAGGCTGTTCCAGTAGTTGTGGTGTTTTCATCTGTGATCCCTGATGCAAAATGGCAGAGAGATAATGTGTTAATTCCTGTGGTGGAGAGATAATGTGTTAAGTTTACACTCTGGCTGTTCATCATTACAGAACAGTTGATACTTCTCTGTGTGGCAGTGATGATGAAAATTTGAGTTGGAGTGATGAGTGATTGGCATTAAAGTGCTTACTCAAAGGCAACTAGTAAAAGAGGTTGACTTTTCTATATGTTCTTTTACAGCAAGGAACTGGCCCAGCCCACACAGATCTCCTGAGTCTGAGAGCCAGTCCTTTGGTTTTTAAGTTTTTGCCTGTACTGCCTGATCTGATATGGGACAGTCGAAATTCTGAAAATGCCATTGTGCTCTAATTGACCCTGCAGTTTAGTACTACTGATTTGAACTGTTTCATGTAAAGTAGCTTTTGGCAAAAATTGTTTGTGTTTTGCATGAAGTACCTAACCTGGTACCTTTTTAGGGAGTATTCATGTGTGGTAACATCTGCAGCAGGCAAACATTTGTGACGTGAAAAGGTTAAATTGATAAATCAAGAAAATTTTTTGGTGCAACATTAGTTCAGCAAGAATGTTTTATGTGCTTAGGGTAATGTCAGCTTCAGGGCTGGTGATGCAAATATGCTAGATAGATGTCTGTGAGCTGCCATATGCATTCTTTTGGCAGCGTACAAACCACATTCAGGTGATAAGGGGAAAGATGTGGATTTAGTTCCCCAGTCCTATTGTTGCCTATTTGGAGATGGGGCAAGTGTCTGGTTCATGTATGCACATGTGCACAGTCAGAAGTGCCAGGGCACAGGTGTTCAGAAAGCCTCCACGAATTCAGGATAGTGTACTATGCAGGACAGAATATTGAGGCAGGGAGTCTTGGTCCAGAAAGATGTAGTTGTATTTTGAATGTGTAAGATTTACATTGTGAGCGTGTAAAGGCCACAGATGAAGAGACCCATGATGATTGGAGCCCTGGAATTAAAAATTAATGAATTACAGAATCACAGAGCAATTGAGGTTGGAAAGAATGTCTGAAGATCATCTAGTCTCAACACTCTGCTTGAAGCAGGGTGAAGTAGCGCAGGTTGCTGAAGGCCATCTCTAGTTTCGTTTTGAAGATCTCCACCTCTGGGCAATGTGTTCCAATGTTTGACCACCCTCAAAGTAAAAGATTTTTTCATATGAATTTCCGGTATTTCAATTTGTACTTCTTGTCAACCGAAAAGAGTCTGTCTCAGTTACCTTTACTCTCTGTCATTCTTGTCTTGGGCAGCCCAGAGCTGGACTCAGCACTGAAGGTAGGTCTTAGCAGTGCAGAGTAGAGGGGAAGAATCTGCCTCTCTTGTCCTGGTGACACTGAGCCAAGGATACATACATTTGGCTTTCTTTGCAACAGGGGCTTATTGCTGGCTCAAATACCACTTGTCCACCAGGATTCACACATCCTTTTCTGCAAAACTGCTTTCTAGCTGGTGAACTCCAGTCTGTACTGGTGCATGGTGGTGTTCCTCCCCAGTGCAGGACTTTGCATTTCTCTTTTGTGAGGTTCCTGTTGGCCCGTTCATCTAGCCTGTTGAGAGCCCTCCGAAGGGCAACACAAGCATCAGCCTCTCCTTCGGGTTTTGTACTGTGTGCAGACTTGCTGAGGATGTTCTCTTATGCCATCATCTAGTCTTAATAAAGACATAGAATGGAATGGGCACCAGATTAAAAAAAAAATTCACCACTGTCCCCTCATCTACCAAGACAGTCATTTTGGAAGGTTGTGAAGTTGGGCAGGTGTGATTTCCCCTTTGTAAATCCATGCTAACTGCTTCCAATCCATTTTTTTGTCCTTAGTATGGTTGGAAGTTGTTTCCAGGCATATTTACTCCATCATGTTCTCAGAGATCGAGGTGTAATTTCCTGTGTTTCCTTCTTGCCCTTCGTGAAGATAGAAGTGACATAAGGAGTTTTATTAATTGTATGGGGAAAGAAAAGAGGGAATCATCCTTCTTGTACATGTCTTCTGTGACCCAGGGCTGGGACAGCTGATACTGCAGTGGTGAAACATATTTTCAGTCTGGAAACCCCTGGGTTATAACTTTCAAAGCAGCTCAACTGGAATGGCCACATTACTCATTTATGAACTCTATAAAGTCAGTTATATCTTCACAGAATAGCTTGGTAATGTTAACTAGTGACTTTGCTGTGCGGCGATTTGTCATTCTTCTGTGTAAAATACTGATGTTTTTTCTGTCAAGTGTTGAGATTTAATTTGGTGGTGGTTCTAACAACATTATGACCTTGCATCAAAAATGGAAATGCTGTCATACATTGCATCTGGAAGCCCTTTCTAATGCATGCTTAAATTTAACCTATTAAAGTCTATCTGAGTAAAAAACCTTAAGATTTGGTCCATTAATATTCTTGCCAGGTGGAAAAAAATTAATTAGTTTTAATGGATTTAATTTGACTAACTGTCCTCTGTCAACACAATCTGGGATTTTAATATCTGATAAACAAAAATTGTTAAATGGGGAACCTTCCAGACAATATTGAAATATGTAACTTTTTCAAATATTGTAGTTTGATGCATGAAAATATTTTTGTTCTAAAGCAGGCATCATTTTAGTCTATTAATGAGCGCTTGGTCTATGTTGGACGCCTTTAGGAAATCATGGTCAAAAATGCTAAGTAGTTGAGAAATTCTGAGTTCAAAAAAGTCCTGCATGAGGGCCAGTTGTCATGAGAGGTTGCCTTGGGCATTGAGCTAATCTCAGAGTTCCTTTTCAGCAACTTCAAATCCTGTTTTCCACCTAGGTGGTCCTCGCCAGCTGGTACCGCATGTATACTGCCACTATGGATTTCCTTGGTGTACCAACAAAGACGTGTTGGACTGTAAACAGAGGAAAAGGTCTTAGTCCTGTTGAAAGCTGCGAGGGTGAGTTGTGGTTTATTCTAGTTTCTTCCTGGAAGCATATAATTGTGGCTTTACGTATTTCAGAAGTAAAATATTCCTGTGTTTTTATTGCTGACATGCTTTCATTTGGCTAAGGCTGTGTTTTTTGGCAGGTTCACAACATAAGTGAGAAGCATGAAAAAAAGATACTTTTAAGAACACCAGGGGTGAGAATTTGGGCTTTGCTTATTAGATAGCTCTTCCCACCTAGGTTGAATTCCTATACTGCACTTCAAAACTTCACAGTTGTAGTCTGAGCCTTCATAATGTTGGACTGTTACAAAGAATAAGATGTCCTAAATGTAATTGGAGGCCACTGTACATGTATTAAATTTTCGTAGCTTCTGTAGAATCCCCAATACATTCCAAGTTCCTACATTTCAAAACCTTACCCTCTGTATTTGCTCCCCTAACTGCAACTTGAGGAGTGGGGAGGAAGGGGAAGAGATAACCACAAGGCTCCCTTTTGGAGAAATCTTGTGCTGTGATTCTGCTGCGAAGAATCCTCTTCCTCTCGTGACCTACTATTCAGCATAAGAATTTCATTCTTATACCTTGATTTTGATACCAAAGCTTGGATGCTGCCACTTCTTTGCATATTTTTTCCACGCTTAAAATATTGGCTTGTCAAGTAAGTATTATATGATAAAATTGCCTTGCCGATAAGCGCTTTTGAGATGTTCTGTAGACAGTTAAAGCTGAATGATAGATGGTAGCTTGTGAAGTTGTTTCATTTTATCATTTAAAATGTCTTTGTGTGGTGACAAGTTAGTATTTTTCCTCTGCACAAAGGCTATAAGAACTTTCTTCAGAGCTTGAATGATTCACTTTCTCTAATTTTGTCAGAAGCAATAAACAGTGAATAAATGTATAACTTTTCATTCCTGTTTTTTGTAAAAACAAAACCAAACTGAACCATCAAAACCACCAACTATTGAGACTACCATGTTTGGTGAGCATATCATTTTACTTTGGAGAACTGTCTTGCTGTATTTTCAGCAATGGTGAATAATCATTTCTGCATACAAAACTATGAAGTTTTGCTACCTTCTCTATGATGAATAAGGCTGTTTATGCTGTATTGCTGAAATGATTAGAGCCAGGAGGGTTTAAAGAAATAATGGGAAAGAGAATAACAGAAGTGTGAACACACAGAAGTGTTTGTGAATGAATAGATTGAAAGACTTGCATTATTGGAAAATCTCTTGGCTTCTAATGAAACAAAGAAAGCAAAGAGCATTGTGTGTGATATGTTTAGTGATGGATTTACTCCTGCAAGAGATGGGAAATGAGAGTATAGGGAGCACAAACCTGTTCTAAAAAGCTCTATGAAGTCAAAACGTAGTCTGTAGAGAACATTCTTAGTGATACTTATGCCTTCTATGTATCGCAGGTTTTTTCTTCACAGGTAATGCTTGCCTCTTAGCTTATTCTGTTACTGACTGCTCCAATTCTGTGTCCACCCCTCTCCTTTTTTTTTTCTCCCCAGAAGTGTAGTCTTCCAATTGAATCGCCACAATAATCTTGGTGATGTTAACATTTTTTTTGTTGTCTCTTTCTATAGATATATTAAGGTAGTACGCTGTGTGCTGTGTTATACTGATTGTATGGTGGATTATAAGCAACATGATCTTCTGTATTTGACATGTTAACTGTTTGTTTGTTAGGGTTGGGAGACCCTGCTTCCTTTTATGTTGCTGTGATTTTTCTTTTGAATGGATTAATGATGACACTGTTCTTCATATATGGTACATACCTCAGGTAAGGCAGTTAATACTGAGCTATTTAGTTGGTAGTAGCTGTCAGTTTTTATATGAAATTTGAAAAACTGAATGCTAAAATATTTTTATGGGATATTGCTTATTTGTTTGTACAGTAGTAGTGCTTTTTGTTACATATACATTGTCACTAAAAATTACTGGAGCAGAGAAGCATTTTGCTTAAAATAAATGATGATGGTGGAAAAAGTTGTGGAAAATTTCAGTGAAGTGGTATTTCATTTATACCACTGAGTTGTGGATAAAACTAAATGCCGTACAGGTTTTAAACAGTTTTTGACAGGCTTCTGCTCTTAAAATTGTCAATGTAACTCATTTTTAAACAAAGTTTGAATGACAGTATACTTTTAACCAAGATTTGAGTTTTCCCGATGTTTTGCATCAAGTCACCTTGCATGTCTTTCAATTTTAACTTAACTGAGATAATGCATTCTTTTGGAGATATGTATACACTTCCCCTTTTCTATGAATTTCTGTTTTCTGTATCTGTCCTTAAATTTCAGGAACTGTAATACTTTCATACAAAAATAGACTCCACATTCAGCAGAAAAACAGAAATGGAAGTATTTTTCTGTTTACTTCTATTTTAATTTGTCAGTGTTGTAAGAAAGCAAAAGGCTGCTACGTTTTCCTCAGAGATGTGATTATTTTTCCCTCCTCATTCCCTGGGTTCACTGTCTTGTGGGTTTTTTTTCCTGTTCTCTCTGAAGAATGTGCTGGTAGTTCAAATAAAGAATACTGCAGGGCAGGGGCTGACAGTGAAAAGAGGAAGTTGACTAGAGTAACTATTAAGTGTTTGGGGGTAAAGCGTATGTGTTTGTATGCCTTAACATAGGAAATTTAATGCCTCATGTTTTGAGGAAGTAGATAAACTTTGAATATTTGTGTCATTAACTTGTAATTTTTCTCTTATGGGAGGTGTGTGGAAACCCACATTTTATATATTAATGTCATTGGAAAATCAGTAAGGTCTTAATTTCTCAGTACTTTCCTTAGATTTGGGCTGTGTTGAATGTGAATAGCTATACAGTATTGATAGTAATTCAGTTTTTAATATAAATGATCTACAGTGTAGGTAGTCAAGACGACTAGAATATAAATGCAGTTCTTTCCAGGTGTAAGCCAGTAGCTGTCTGGGGTTATGAAAAATAGCAAGTGACTATGAAATTTCCTGCAGTTAGGATTTTGGTCTTACTTATTTATTCTGGATAATATTCATAGTAGGATACCAGATCGAGATGACTGCTTAGTCATTATGGCTGTTCCAAGGTTCCTCTTAGTCAAATCAAACCAGAACATTTAGGCTCTTCCATAAGGTGTGAAAAATAAAAGCACTGAGTCTGCAGTAGTGCAGTTCTACCACACTGAAGTAGGTAATCTTATGAATTGGCATAAGTCTCCTTTATAGAGCCGATTTGTTTCTGCTATGCATTTTGAAAGGCTTTTTCATAGCCCAACTTGTTTGATGGTGGGAAACCATGCTCTAATATTTTCTCTATCTTTTCATTCCTGAATTTCGTAGCAGTTATCATCTCAAGCTTATGCACTTGTTTTTTTTTTTTCTAGGGTGTTTTTTTTTGTCTGTCTATATGTTCAGAATGTGTAATCTTTTTATTTCAGCCTTTATTTGCTTTTAGTCTCTTTGCAACTTTGACTAGTGATGGAAGGTGATAAGATAGTGGAAGACCACTTTCTTATCATTATTTCACAAGCTAGTATGTGCTCTCACATCTGTACTTACTGTATTCTATAATGAGCTTGTTCAGAGTTAAGCTAGCAGAGTGCTAGTTGCTCTTGTAAGACTAGTTTTTGCTGTTTAGTTCCCTTAACCGGTATCCCCACAAGGTTAGAAGATTGCCAGATGTAGTATGTCCCTGCCTTAGCGCTCTGTGTATGGTCTCTGGTTATGCAAACGCACTTGGGAATCTTCTTATATGATGCAAGTTACTCTCAAGCTCTGGAGCATTCTTTGTTAACTGAAGTGATATGGTGAGAACTCGTGCCATTTTTAGGGTTTTTTTTAAGGACAAAGCAGTGGCATTTGGATGATAAGTACTTTATGCAATTGTAAGATTCTGCCTTCCTCCAGCCTTCCACGCCTCTGTTCTTGTAGTCAAGGGACAGAATACTTAAGCTGATTGTCAAAGACTGCATCTTGAGGAGCTACCAGTACATTTCCCGTATCTCCTTCTGACAGTACTTTTTCGGTATTTTGTTTCTTGCATGTTAATCAACAATGAATTACAGCATTTCCCCAGATGACTTTAAGCTTCAGCTTATTGTACCCAGGGAATCAAAATATTAGATTTTTTTTTTTATTATTCCAGAGCTGAGTCTGCCAGGCAAAGTATAACTGTTTGGGTCATCTGCAGTTCTTTAAAAATTACTAATTATTTATAAAATTTAGATTATACTATATTAAACATGGGAAAAGTAGGTTCCAACTGAAGGGCGTGTACTTTACCAATTGTAGTATGGTATGGCAGTTTCAGTGGAAAGAGTTACCCTTTATTTTTTATATTGGCATAGAAAGGCTTAACTATTGTATCTTCTACGTGATAGCATTGCACTGTTAGAAGATAACCAGTCTAACTCAACACTATACATAACCCTGTGTGAAGTAGGGTTTGTTCACTTCCTTTTCCAGAAAAGACGCTGATAAAGGTACATTTCCCTATTCTGTGCTACAGATTTAACGATCTTTTCTCATGTGGTAAAATAGTGATCTCTTATAGAGACTGATAGCTCTAAAGCAGTCATAACACAATTAAGACCTTTGTATTCTAGACTTTAAGGTTTTATCACAATGTTAACCTTTAGCATAGACCTTGATTTTTTTTTTTTTTTCTCTCTTCTGGTTTTGGGTGTAGTTTTTGCAAATTTTTAGTTTGCTTTGTTTCTAAGACTAACACTTTTAAATATTAAGCACATTCTTTTAGTCATTTTGGGTTTCAGTTTTGATGCTTTTAGAATTTATGGAATGAAAGGTTGAGTTTTATGTGCAAGAATGCACAATTCCTGGAGATTGTTTTAGCACTCAGTTGGTATCTTTAATCCTCAGATTTTGTAGCCAGAACTCACTGATTCTGTTTGACTCATGCATTAGTGATGGGTGAAGGATCTGAGAGGATCTGAGGTTTGTTTGGTTTTGGTTTTTTTAAAAGAATCTTAACAGCTGGCTTTTGCTTAGTAGCAAAAATGGTATATTCTGTCATTCACAGTAGTAGCGCACTTGCATGCACAAAAATGTTCTTTGCTTTATATCACAAGACATGAGAAATTAGAAATCTAATTAAACAAATAGGTACCTTATCTATTGCTGTTTTGAGATGGGATAAATCTAAGTAATATCCTTGAGTTTAGTGTTGACTCTATGGTGCTAATTATTCCATAGATGAATTTGGTTTAGAAAGGTATAAAAATCCTTAAAGTCAAGGGCTTAAAAAAACTTTCTCATGTTAACATCACAGTATTTCACATAAGAATTGAATTGTATCTTGTGTTGACCATGTCACGAATTCATTTCTAAATATGGTTTTTGAATGTGCTTGATTTGATTACCCTAAGGTAGTCTTAGATTGAGATCAAAATTCCCTGTTTGGTGATTGAACATGCAATGTTTCTGATCAACAGCTTAGGGAAGAAATACTCCATTTATATTGCCAGGTGTTTTTAAAAGAAAAAAAAAAAAGTTTGGACTTCTAAAGACCAAGCTCTGGGTACAGCAGGTGAAGCACCAGATGTCATGATCAAAACTGAAGTTTGTGAGGAGTGGAATAACTGTTTTCCAAGTTATTTATGTAAAATTGGTGTTCTGCAGAAAAAAGCTGATAGAGTGGTCTGCTCTGAAAAAAACATTAGCTGACTAACTTGTATTTTAGTATTGTGTGTATGCTGTAGATTGCTTTCCCTTGAAGCTTGAAAGCATTCCTCCCCCCCAAACTTAGCTGTACATGAGTGCTGTTTCACATTTTTTAAGCAGCATTGACCATTATGAGATTCTGTTGTACCTATTTTCTCCTGTTCTTTTCACAGTGGTAGCCGTCTAGGAGGCCTTGTTACCGTGATGTGTTTCTTTTTCAACCATGGAGAGGTAGGTCTCCCTCCCCAACCACCACCATCCCCTCCTCCCCCCTGCCCCCCCCTTTTTTTTTTTAAGTTTACGCTAATTCTCATTTCAGTAAAGATAGTGATGTTGCTTATCTATTAGGGGATGGATTTAAAGGGAATAAGACATTATTGAAAGCAAAATTGTCTATGACTTGAAAATATATAGCACAGTCTAATGTTTCACCTTTGACGTTAAAAAAAAAATTGTAAAGCGGACCTGAGATTGAAATCTTAGTAGCACAATGACTTCAAGTTTCAAAACACAAAAATATTCTATTTCTGTGCCCATTCCAGCCATAACTGGGCTATGTGTATCGTACGAACAATCTTCAGAAGTGGAGGAAGTTTTCTTTAAATTGATATGTGTTTTACTGGAAATTCATGAATACACACACAAAAAAAAAGGCAAAGAAACCTCTGTTATACTGATATGCTATAGCCAGGATACACAGAATTTAGAAGCTGTCTATGTATGTAGAGAATTCCAATGCTAAACTTGTTCAGTAAGCTGCATTACAGAAAAGAAAGAAGGAAAAGAAAAAAAAAAACAAAACCAAAACAAAACTGTCACTTAAAACATCTCCCTGTGTCCCCAGGTAATGCTGTTCATGTCATTGTTTCATGTTTCGGAAGAAAACTCATGGCTTTTATTCTGATGCCCTTGGGCAGTGTTTCTGGTTTTTAATGTTCATTTTATGTATATAAATATA